ATCTTAGGTGGAGATATGCAGCTTTACTCTTGAGTGACAGATCCCCATGTCTACGTACCAACAATCATGCTATTTATTCAAGGTTACACCAGGAGGAAGTTCTTGGAGGTAGGGATGTCTATTCCAGAGGAAGGGGTAAGCTAATTTCCATGTCAGTGTATCTGAATATCCTCAAAGTGAAGCATGAAAAAGTTCACTGGGGGTCTCGTTTATTTGCTTTTCATAGATGTTACCCTTTGTCCTTAACTCAGAGAAAGGAGATGGAGATTTATTCTTGTCTGTGCAGTGTCAATGAATCCCCCGTCTCCCAAGAAAAGCCAAAAGGACAATGCTTTTACAATTAGGAATTGGGGAATTTGATAGTTTCTGAAAACAAAATTCTTTCATTCTGTCTTGCAGCAGGCTGTCGCGGTTCGTCCTCTATCTGTGAACTGGATGAAAGCGCCAGTGAATGCTCCAAAGGTCAGAATTTCAGAACTGCTGCCACAACCGTATTGTCACCAAGTATTAATGATTCTCTCATCCGCTCTCTTTTTTTAAGAGGCCTGGTCATGTCCGAGGGAATGCCAGGTACATTTTTCTTAATGTATGAGCACAAGTTACATATAACAACCTAACAACACAATACTGCCTCTTTAATGCTAATCTATTCCTTGCAATCTACTAGATACATGTAGAGTCATTGGTGTGTATCAAGAGAGCAAAATCAGATTCTGAAAATATCTGAAAGGATGCACTAGAGTGTACATAATAATGTATTTTAATCTGCCAGGCCTTAAAATTAATCATGAATTCCCACAGAGATTTTAATAATTTTGAGATGATGTTTTTTTTTTCTTCCCCTTCATAGAGTAATATTCTTGGACAGTTTTCTAAATGCTGCAAGGGTACAAAAACTACGTGGGGGAGGGGGAAACAGGGGCAATTTCTCACTTGCCATGGCACAGGAGATGTGTTTACTGGGAGAACATGTTTTCTTTTGCTCCTAACTAAAAAGCAAGGTAGGTGTTTCAAAGAGAGGCTTTATCACTCCATAAAAGCTGGCAAATAGAGGGAAGTTTATTAGGGGCAATAATGTGCATTTGCAAAGCAATGGGGATGGTCCTGCAGGAAAGAGGTCCGCTCTAGCGAGGGAGTGAATGCTTTGGCAATGTTTGAGAATCCAGCTGTCAGCAGTTTGCAGAGTTTCGCAGGAAAAAAATCCTGGAGATCAAACTGCAATGGCTGTAGAAAGGGTAGCCCTTTTTTTGTCCAAACTGGGACTTTTGAGAGGGAAAATGAAAGTTAATAATCATACTGGGACATGTGCTTACTGTAGTTCCCAAGCACATAGCAAAGGTCTGGAATTCAGGTTTCCTAATTAGAGAAATCAGAGAGGAGTGACCATGTCCTCACCAAGATTCTGTGATTATAGCCCATATAGGCTCTTCAAATCCTATCCAAATAAGGTGCTATGTAAAATTATAAATATATAACATTTTTTTTCCTGAAAAATAAGCAACTAAAAATATTATACCTTAGATTGATGATTTTTCAGGATATCGGAAATAATCAAGTTCTTAGAGGTATGCTGGTCTTTCTGTGTCTTTTTAATGCCATAAAAGACTCCCATGTAATAATTGTCTGACTACAGGGAGAAGTAAATTGCTTTTGTGATTGATAAAGTTCTTGGTCACCTTCCCTGAAATGTAGTTTTAAAACCACATCTTTGTTCTTTTTCTTCCCATCTCCTAAAAAGAAGCTTTTAGCAAAGTGTGTATTAACTCCCTCAGTCTCTGTCTTGAAAAATTCCTAAGGACAGAAGTAGAGTATGGTTTGTCAAAAGTAGGTGAAACGCTGTGATCGATGTCATCTTTTTGGAAGGACAAACACCTTTTCTTGGTGTGTGTGTAAGTGGGGCATGCTTAGAGATTTTAAATAATGGAATATATATATATATATGTATATATACATATATATATATGAAGGAGATAGAGATATAAGAAGCTGCAGAGAAGAAATGTGTGCTTGTAAAGCTAGACAAGAAGATTTTTATCTGTATTGCATTCCCTTCAGATAGTAGAATCAGGAATCTTACTATTGCTTGTGCCACTGTAAGAAACTACTTTAATGTTCGTTGGGTTGGGTGGTGCAACAAGATTTGGAGGTACTAACTTGGTTTCCCTTCCAACTTTCCCACCTTCCTCCACAGGAACTCTTCCTCTTCAGGGTTACTGTCTGCCTTCTACTCTTCTTCTATAGAACTCTACACATGCCCTGAACTGGCATCTTCTCCCACCTGGAGCCACCTAGAGACAGGTATGGGACAATATGGCTGTTTCTAGGCTTTCGGAGAGGAATGTGGGAAGGCAGAGGGTTAGTGAAAGTGATGAAGTCCTGGGATTGAGATGTGAGGACACAGAGTAACTAGGAGAACCTGAGGAACAGGGTCCATGTGGAGACCTGAATAGCCTCTCTTGGCTCAAGCAAAATTTGAGCCAAAGGACCAAATGCAAGATAGGAGACTTACCTCTTCCTGAGAATTTGCAGGGAATGGAGGATGTTTGATTTCTTATGACCATCTGGAATTTTAATGTCACTGTTGGGAGAAAGAGAATACTGATAGGCATGTAAATGGACTGAGCTTGTCCTAAAGAGACTCAAGTTTCCTCTGTCAGATAAACAGGCAGTTTTAAGGCGAAGATTAAATGAACACACAAAAAAATTTTAAAGTATCATTTTCCTGAGTATTTGCTCATGAAATAGTTGACTTATCATATTGTTCACTGTTTAATATGCACCTTGTACATAGGAATAGAAATGGCCCATTGTCCTCAAAAACAAACAAACAGCAAAGCAAAACCAAAGAAAATTCTCATAACAAATTCATGAAGGTCAAAGTTAATATTTGTCTGAAGGCTTTAGGGAGCTCTCCCAGGAGAGTGTTGGCCTTAGTTAAAAATGCCAAACTCATTCAGGCCAGGAAAATACTAAAGGGGCTTACAGGTGGTACCCTGACGATTCAGGTGCTTTTGCAGTGTGTTACCCAAAGGAGAGTGAGAGACTGGTTTTGATGGAGATCTCTAAAAATGGAACAAAGAAGAATCCATCTGAAATTTATGCAGTCCTGCTGAGAAACAGAGAAATGATGTTGATTTCTTGATTTCTTTTTCTCAAAAAAAAAAAATAGTTTTTTGCCTCTAAGATATGCTTTTAAATCTAATCAGATGTTGATTTTTGTTCTCATTTTAGTAGTCCTGGATATTAATGTTTTCATAATAAATATTTTAGAATTAGAGCTGTAATTTCTGCTAAAACATTGTTTTAATTTTTGATCAATATTGTGTGTTTGATAAGAGACCTGGCATATAAAGCTAAAAATGTCACATGCCCTGTAGGGAGCCCTTTATTTCTACTGACATATATTGAAGTTATTCTTCTTCCTTCATATGATTTACCTTCAAAAATCTATTGAATGTGCCCCCAGAGAAGTGGAGATAGCTGTTTTAATAATTATATTGGTATTCGGGTGGAATGGAGTGGGTAGAACTGAAAGAACTTGCAGGGTATGTTGTTCCTGGAATCTATGATTCCACCAGCCTGCATACAGTAATCACAGTGCAGTAGTATAGCTAGCGTTTACAGAATAAGGTGAGTAATCACTTTTTTTTTTTTAATAATATATGATCTTTCACCCTCCTTCCACATTCGGAAAGCCCTTAACTCATACCAGAAATGGCACATTATGTCACTATGTCAACAGATGGCAGGGTTACACTGTCTCTCTCTCTCCCACCAGGGGCAACAGGAATTTCACTAGAGCTTTTGACTGGTACTCAGGGTTTGCCTCCGTGGAGCTGATATTTGGTCTTCAAATTCTGCTTCTGAACCTTATGATTCAGTGCTATCAGAAAGCATTGGCAAAACAGAGAGCCATCTAGCTTGACTCTCACTAGTAGCATCCTTCTCATGGTAAGTCTAGAGAAGCAATGGGAAGACTGTATTCTTTGGGGACAGCATACAATATAGAGTGATAGAAAAAAAAAGATAACAGGTCATTTCCAATATCTCCTGCTTATAATATTGTTCTTGGAATACCATATGACTCATGGCAATCTTGGCACATAATATGCACACCAACCCTAAAGGAGTGTGAGAGAGTGTGAGACTGGATTGCTGGACATTTGTAAAAATGGGATAGACAAGGATCCATTTGAAATCTCTGTAGTCTTGCTAAAATATATAGAAATTACACACACACACACACACATCACAAAGCCTCTGAAATAGATATTTGCAATTAAGAGTGTTTATCTTAAAGTCTATACTTTCCTACTATGTATGAGGCTTTCCTAGTGTAGAAATAGCTCATTGATATTTGGAAGTCCATAGAATGCTTGTAAAGTTTATTGATTAACCTGTTAAATCTTTTGATGTAGCTAGCATTTCAAAATTGTCTGGCTTATTTTTTGAGACCTTCCTGCTCTGGTGAATGGTGGGGAAGCTTGTTCCACTGAGGTACTGACCATCTCCAGATGTGTGTGTGTTGCATGGCAAGGCCCTGGGGAGTCAGAAAAATAATTCTGGCCCTTGAATCTCCTGCTTGCTCTTTCACTCTCATTTATAATGCAGTGTCTAGAAGACAGTTTCTTTAAATTTATCTCTGTTAGCCTAGGTCACTGCCTGGGAGCAATTAATTTTTTTTCTAGGTATTCTTCAGCATTTTTCAAATACTTTCAAAATCCTACCTTATAATATTTTAATTGAACCATACCACTTGTGTTTCCAACATTGAAATGGATTTTACACAGCTGTTTACACTAATATGTGTTAAAATGCTTGATTACCGCTGCAATCACAGCCTGGCTCAATAATCTTGCCAGCTCTTAAATATATAGTTGTGTCTTAACCAAACACAAACGTCAATGAGCATTCTAAACTCCTGCAGTTTGTAAACTGGATTAAGGGCCATAAATGTGATCCTCCAAACAAGAACACAAAATTTTGCATAGTTCATGTTAATCTACTCATCTGTTTGTTTTGTTGTTGTTTCCCAGGTTTTCAAAAATGCTTGATGATTAGAATGAAGTCAGAATGGGAAATGTTAACAGTGGGATTGAGGGAGAGGTTTGAGGAAGCCTATGACAGCATGTTTAAATGTGTGACTTTATAATAAATTGTCAGCTGATGATTCTTTAGCTAATTGGTAGACTTAGAACATTTTTAGCAGATATTTGATCACCTACTAAATATTCAGAATGATTATAAAAGCTGGCGATTGCAGTAGAGTTCCATATGAGCCAGACTACTGAATGGTTAAGTCAGTTTGGGAGCATGAATAAGGGAGAGGTGGTTTACCACCAATGGCTCAGGGAAAACTTCATAAAAGATGTTTGCATTGGAAAAATGAAGGATTTTCCAAGAGGAAAAGCAGAGAAAATACAGACAGGAAATCCAGAGAGTCAAAGTCACCAACAAAATGAAAGAGGGCAGGCAAGTGCTGGAGAACCCAGTATCTCTGTATGTCTGAGGAGGAGAGTGCTGTTTGAAGAGACCTGGGAGATGCAGTCTAAAGGACATCAAAGTAAGCCTGAAGACTATGAGAGACCGGCTCATAGTA